TCGGCGTTAATACTGTTTTTAAAAGTTTCCCAGATGATTCCAGTGTGCGACCCGGGAATATGACTGGCTTAGGAAGGGACAGTTCTGACACGGTGGGGAACGGCTTGTAAACTCTTGCCCATCCCGCGTGGCCTTAGCAGCGTTGATGGTTTGTTTATAAACTTTGCGATGTCGGGATAATTCTGTTACCCAAACGGCATGCTGCGTCTGGTGCATAGTCTGTGTTCGGCGGTGCGTGGTGGCCTCATCCCCACTTCCCTCCACCTGTCCCTGAGAGGTAAGCAAGGTGAGTGATGTAATGCCATCAGGCTGTTGGCAGTGGGCCCCGGAGACATATGTGTCCCATGTTTTGTGGTTTCCTGCTGTTCATGGATTATGTTTTATTCATGCAAAGTGTGATGCGAACACTCTTCCTTAGGGGAGCCGTTTTCGGTCTGCAGATGTCAAGGTGGAAGAATTCATGTGTATAAATCGAGGGCACAGAAGGCAGGTGGGAGGGCGGGAAGCAACGTGCTGACGCAGGGTTTGTTTTGTGGGCAGTTGGGAAGGGAAGGACATGAAGCGCGAGAAGCCGGGACTGTGTCTTTTCTGGGCTGATGCTGCCCTCTAGTGGGAAAAAGCCGCAACTGCCCTGAGCTGCTTCTGCACTCCACCCCCTTGAGGGGTCTCCATTCAGGATTAAAATCGAGAGACTCTGAGTCCTGCTAAAGAAACAGAGACTCGTGCTTAGGGGAGACCAGCCATGCAGGCCTCCTTTCTGGAACTCACCATCCCTCAGACACAAAGAGAATTCTAGAAAGCATCTACTATCTTCTAGGCACCAGTAGCTTTGCACGCACTGCATCTAATTCTCAGTGTTCTTATTCGTAGACTCAGAGTTCGGAAATGAGTCATCTAAAAATCGAGACGTGTAGCCAGAAGCCAAGCTTAGGTCTGGCTGATTCCAGAGGCTTCGCCGCTATACCACACTGCCCTATCTGTTCTTTCTCTAAGAACCTAGGGAGTCCTAGAGGCCTGAGTTCAAATGTACCTCTATCACGTGCAAGCCGTGTGGCCTGGAGGCAACTGAGTAACCTCTCTCAGCTTCTGATTTTTTTTTGTCCACAAAAAATGGTTATCATAACATGAACCCTGCCATGGGGTCAGAATTTTTTTTGTTTAACCTCAGTTACATCAGAAGGGATTGAAAGCCATTGCTTCACCCAGGCAAATCAGGATCCCCCCAGAGAAAAAAAAAACAAGACTCCCCTGAGGTTCTTTCATCCTGCGCCACACAGAAACCTCAGCTCCACCTTCCCCTGCCCTGCTCAATGCTGTCTCAGTCTCTGCTAAGAAGTCAGAGCTGTCCCATGAGGCCCCGGTGGCCTTGAGCGCTGAGCGGCGTGGATCTAGTCTGCATGCTTTCCCCTTCGCCACTGTCCTGAGGGCAGCTGAGAAATGCAGGGCCCTTGAAATTCTGGTTTTTTTCAGCACCTTAAATTCTACTGCAGTAGATAATTCTGTTCTTTAGAAAATGCGTTCTTTAGAAAATCTTATCATTTGTTTCCAGGTTTTTTAGGAGGACTATGTTAGGTATTTATTTTTAAATTATTCTTAAAAAAAAAAAAAAAAAAGGTCATATATGGAGACAGACTGGAAGGGAATATCTAATGAATATCAATGTTTTTTTCTGCATCGTGAAAGATGGTGATTTGTGCCATCTTCCTGGGAATAATAATAATAGCTAGAATTTATTAAGCACTTACCGTGTGCCAGGCGCTGTGGAAAGCCCTTCGTGTGTATTAATCACTTACATCTCGAAGCAGCCTTGCGAGGGTAGGTACCGTCGTTATCATCACTCTCAGGTGGAGCGTGGAGGTCCAGAGAAGGTAACTAACTTTCTCAAGGTCACACAGCTAGGGAGTGCAGACGCTGGCCAGCTCTGTGTTCTTGGCCACCGTGTCATGATGCCTCTCCAGCCTCGGTTCAGTCTCAGATCTCCATGAGCATGTGTTTCTTTTAAAATGGAAAAAAAAAAAAAAAAAGAGGTTTTGTGTTTTAAATGAAGCTCTCTGGTTCCACCAATGCAGAAACACACGAGCAGAAATGCAGTTCACATGCCGTCATGCCCAAAAGGAAATATGAGAGCTATGGTATTTATTTTTTTATGTGATGCTCTGTATTTTCCACATTCTCTAAGGTGAGCATCTCTTGCCTAAGTGATCAAAAAAGTAAAACTCATTTACAACAGGAAGCAAAATCTGTCGTTAGAAGCCCCAGCAAGAATAACTAACAGCTCGAGTTCTTTTTGAGAAAGTCAGTTCCAGGAACGTTTCGGTGCGTTTGACCCATGAGGGAGGGGCTGTTGCCCGCCCACTCCCCAGAGGCACAAACTGAGACACAGGGAGCACGTGCATCATGTCAAGGCAGGTGTCACTCTTGTCCTTCCCCACACAGTGACCCTCGGAAATACTGACGGACTTGTCAGATTTCGAAGTGAGCGGGCCGCTGGTCGAGGTCCCCGGGTTTCTGGACGGCCTGTTTGGCTCGGCTTTCGGCAGCAGACGGAGTTGGCAGAGGCCTTCGCCCCGCTGACCCAGCTGGAGTGGTGAAGCTGCTGCTGGTTTTTTTTTTTACCCCCCTACAAGTTCGAGTTGTCCCAGCACCATCCACGGAGACTGGCCTTTCCCGCACCGCTTTATACGGACTCGTCGTCATAAACCGATGTCCGCATGAGCAGCATCTGTGTCTGCGCCTTTTCGTCTGCTTCTGTGGGATAGTGGTCGTCCCTCGTGCCGGAAGCACACTGTCTTTGTCATTGCGGTGTTAGGGTGGGTCCGATATCCTGTGGCCGGTGGTGACAAAGAGGCTCAGGTTGTGGGGGTGAGGCCTGCGAGGACCTTTTTGGACAGTACAGAAGCGTGAGCACCTCCCGAAGGGCAGGGGGGCTGCTGGGGCCGGGGGGACATGCAGCCCGTGAAACTGTTGAGGGAGTTGCAGACTCAGTTGGCGAAGCTAGGATGGGGGTCGGGGGGAGGCGTCAGTGTGCAGGTTCTCACCCTGGTCCTCGTGGGCCTGGCAGGGGAGGAGCCACCTCAGCCTCACGGTGAGTCCGAGGAGGGTCTGTGAGTCAGGCCAGCAGCTTGCCACCTGTCTAACACCAGGCCCCCGAGGGCCGTGTCCCTTGTGGTTGGCATCACGATTTTGCCCTGAAGCAGAAGGTCCTTCAGTCCACACAGGGGATGGGGCCAAGGCTGGCTCCGTTCTCTCATCCCACCCCACTAAGGACAGGCCCCCCGATTCCAGTCCATACCTGAAAGATCCCCATATCCTAGACCTTTCCGATAATAGCCCCGACTTTCTCAGCTTTCTCCGTTTGGCTCCCCATCTAAGTTGGGGCGAACCAGGGCTAGGGTGCTAGTAGAACAGAGACGGTTCCTCCCCAGATTGCTGTCAACACGATAAAGATGAGCTCGGGCATCTGCGTCTGGCTATAGGGGCGACTGTTTCGAGACACTTGGACTTGTCGGTTGCTCCAAGTCAGAGGAAGATGCTGCCGAGCGCGGATCCCGGCCCAGTCCCGTGACGGACGCCGTTCTCTTTCACGCCGTCCTTCATCAAACGCCATTCCTCGTAAGCGCCCCTCCAGTGATTTGTTCGGGGTTCTGGCTTCCTGTCTATGGCGCAGATAGGGGTTGCTCTGCTGAGTCTTAGAAACCAGTTGAGCTCCCTCCCGCCTGTGGTTCCTTAAGCCGTGATGGTTCCCCTGCCCCGCCGTGCAAGTCAACGAGCTCCAGGACGGCCGGGCGCGTTGACCGACCGGCCCTACGCCGAATCTCGCTTCCTGAGAACACGGCTTGGCGCAGAGAAGGAGCTCAGTAAATACCGACTGCGTCGATGCACATCTGCGTGGTTTCGTGGTGACAGCACTGAGTTCGTCCGCCGCTGGCCCTCCACGGAGCTCAGATTCCCTCCGGCGGGGGTCATGTCCTGCCTGGTCCTCCATGAGCCCGTGCGGACTTATTAGCACCCACCCTCCGTGCTGGCTGCTTGGGTTGCGCTGACATGTGTATCGATTGTCCCCATAGGTGGCCAGCTTCTTGAGGGAACGGCCACTTCTTTACTCTTGTATTTATCTCCAGGATCTGGAGAACTGTCAGTGCTGGGGTAATAGCTACCAGATTGAAATTTAGTTAGAGACCGTGGGTTTTCATTTGAGCTCAGTATTTTCTCTGAAGCGATCCAAAAGGTTTGTGAAAAGTTCCAAGTACCGTATCCTCCTGCTCCCTAAGCGCGTGCCCAGCCAGAGCCGTCTTTGCAAGTCCTCCGGGAGAGCTCAAGTCCGAACAACTCTTAACAATAACAAAGGACAGCAACTCCAAAATACAGGGGTGGGGAGCCTGCGAAGCCGAGATGAATAAGTGCCTAATTAAATGTTCTCAAGCATACCATCACATCAGCCTTGTTACTTGCCACATTTAATGCCCATAAACATTTTATTACGTTCGTAAATAATTTGTGTCTCCAATTTTTCTCACTTTACAAGAGTTCCTGAGTTTGCACAATGAGAGCTGAGAATTCGTAGCCAACCGTACATTAAACGAATTACATAATGACAAATAGATGGGAAAGCAAAATGAAATCAGTTGTTTTTTTTTTTTCCAAAGATGTGTATGGCAGAAAAATGTTTTAATGATAAGTGTGTCTGTATTTCAGTGTTTGGTATGATGTGCGATGGAGTCCTCTAAAAATAAGTGTAATCGGGCCCCGCACATGTTTTAAATCAACCTGTAAAAATATTATAGAATTCTTGCGTAACATAGAGCGCTTCGATAGACTTTCTCGAAATTAAGAATGAAGGTTTTCCTCCTCTAGGATTTTTGCACTAATTCCTGTAACGTCATTTGTATAACCAGACATCTCACCTGAGTGATCTAAAATAATCTCCTTGATCTCTGACTAGTTCGCTCATCGACTGGCCTCTGCTTTGCACCTGACCTTTTGTCTCCTCTTTTTTTCAGGAATCCTGTTCACGATGCTGGTGTTCGGACCAGCCTGTGGATTTATCCTGGGCTCTTTCTGTACCAAAATCTATGTGGATGCTGTCTTCATTGACACAAGTAAGGACCATATCTCAATTTCTAACTGCCGTCCGCAACCATTCCCTCCCCCGCTCCCTTGTAAAGAACCCAACTTACGAGTTCTAAGACATTCCTACGAAGTGGCAGCCTTCATGTGTCCACCTCTGAAGCCAGTGGCCCGCCTGAGATTAGATAGAAAGCTCATTCGCCTAGTGGGTTTGGAGGGCCTGGGCTCAAGTCTGCATCCTCCCAGCATCAGCCTAGAGGCTGAAGAAACCCTGTCATTGATTTGACTTCTCAAATCCGTTTTCCCCGTCAGTAAACGGAGGGTGATGAGAATTAGATCTGCTTCGTAGGCGTACCGTAAGAATCCAATGAGGGGATAGGGCGGAAGTGCCCGCCGTACACGCACATTCATCGCATATTAGATCTGCTTCGTAGGCGTACCGTAAGAATCCAGTGAGGGGATAGGGCGGAAGCTGGTCCATCAGCCTCGATGAGGACCCTGCTTTCTACACCCGAAGTTGGAGCACGTGTTCGGGAAGTGCAAGGGCACAAATGGGGTTGACGAGACAGGATGTTTGATAGTCCTTCCTGTGCGACACTCTGGTGGTGGCCCTTGTGAGGAAATGTACCACGACTCCAGCCGTTTCGATCAGCGCTTCTTGTGTCCTTAGCAGGGAGGGCCAGTGTGTTTCTCGATTGCTCCGGACCCTCCACTTCCTTAGCACACTTTGACCGAACAGTGTGCGAGGCGGGATGGGCTGGGTTACGCCGTGGTAACGGACCGTTCCCAGATCTGAGTGGCTTTATACAAACAGAGTTGATTCCTCGGTCACACTGTATGTCCAGTGCAGGTTGGTGGTGCTGGGGAGACTGAGAAGTGGCTCATCGTGGTCACTCCAGGACCTGGGATCACAGAAGCTTCATCTGACCCCAGCCTGCCCAGTTGCCAAAGCAGACGACCAGACTGTGGCAGGGTGTACACAGGCTGTTGAAGCCTCTGTTCAGAAATGACACACATTGTTTCTACTTACATTTCAGTGGCCAAAGCTACTCATATGGTGTATTCGTTGTCTATTGCTGTGTAACAAATTACCCCAAACTTAGTGACTTAGAGCAACAGTTACTATCTCACAGTTGATTTCTGCGGATCTGGAATCCAGAAGCGGCCGAGCTGGGTGGTTCTGGCTCAGGGTCTCTCACAGAGGCTGCGATCGAGGTGTCGACCTGGCCTGCAGGCATCTCAGAGCTCACCTGGGCTGTGCCATCGTGGCTCCCCACAAGGGGTGAGAGAGAGCCTTTGAGACAAAAGCCTTGGTCTTTTTAGAACCCAGTCTCAGAAGTGACAGCTCATTGCTTCTGCTGCATCCTGTGTATTGAGAAGCAAGCTGCTCATTCCAGTCCATACTGAGAAGGGATCGTGACCTAAGGACGAGAATGCCAAGGCCTGGGCATCGTCGTAGACTCTTAGATACTGCCTGCCACAGATGGTCACAACGCGACCGAAAAGTGTCCCAAAGGAGACACTATCTTCCTGTGCAGTCAATGGAGTAGAGAAGGCGCATTTCCTTTCTCTGTGAAAACAGCGAGCAGGAAGCCCGTCCAGCTTCTGATGCCGATGTGTCCCCGGGATCAGTGAGGACTCCCCGTCACAGTGTTCTCCGCACGTCATCTCGTGACCGTGCTGCGTTCACTGATTCACCCCGAAGAAATAATGCGGCTTTAAATCCAGTCAAGTCACCTTGTGATCTACTCCATTAATCCCACTGATATATTTACTTGTAGCTAGAATTAAACGCAGCCTTATTTATTGATTCTTTTAAAGGGCTGGATCCTTTGGGGGGGGTGGGGATTGAACTCTGCTGCTTTGTGGTGGTCACTTGGCCCTTCAAACCCTCTTCCAAGCGGGATGAGGGTCAGAGAAACAACAGATGAAGCGAGGCTGCTGCCATCTTGCTTATGCGGACAAAGAAGCCGGCTTCCGTCACTTCCCCAAAGGCAGCACGAGGCAGGGATGGCAGACGGGGTTGGGGGAAGGGTCACGCTCCGGGTGCAGTGAAGAAGGCCACCTGGAGGGAGAAGAAGACACATGGCCGGGCAGCGTATTTTGCATTCAGGAGCCCAGCGGTGGCCCCTCGAATCAAGGCCTGTAGATGCCCAGAATCGTTTCAGCAAAGAAAACCGCAGACATCATTCTCTCCCACCTCCTTCATTTTGCAAATGAGGAAACCGAGGCCTAGAGAGGTACAGGGACGTCCCCCGGCCAAGGGCTCTATCTGTGTAGACCTAGGTGTCCTGAGCACGCGTGCGAATATTCATTCCCACGTCAAACGCCCCCTCAACAGGCTCCCTCCTGGGAATGAAGTAGCGTCTTTTCTCAGTGCCTGGCTGGCCGACGGGTAGACTGGTGGCTGGAGGTGGCTTAGCTGTTCCGCTCACCGTGCCCTCAGCGTGTCGTGCCTTTGCTCAGGCTCTTCTCTCGGCCAGGCGTGCTGTCCCCACCCCGTTGGGTCCAACATCCGTCCCCATCCTTCAAGGCCCAATGTGAAGCCACCTCACCCGTGGGCCTGGGCTCATTCGCAGTTCGAGTCGGGCAGAGGGGTGCATTTCCGTTCTGTCTGGGCAGGCTTCTCTCGGGTATTCTGAGACCGTGTCTCTCGAATCGGAAGGATGCCTTGCGACTCAGTCTTTTGTCTCGTGTCGGAAGGCGCTGCTCTGCGCCAGTAGAGGGCAGGAGAATGTAACTTCTTCCGCGAGGGAGCCAGCCACAGGATTCTGTAGTTCCCAGCAGCTTTTATTTTTCTCAGCCTTGTGACTGACTGAAACTTGTTCTGTCTGCGAGTGGTTTGGGGCTGTATTTCGAGCATGGGGTTCTCGGTTGTTTTAGGGGTGGCCCTCCCCTAGCTCTTACACGCCAAATAAGGCAGAGCCCCTCTCTTTTAGACCGTCCAAACTCTAGGAGCGTGTCCTTAAGCACGAATATGCAGAGGCCATGCACACCGCCACTTGGTTCTAGAACCCCAGCGGAGAGCTGGGGGGTGGGGGAAGCAGTGGCCTGGAACTGTGGGGAGGCAGGCCAGGCAGGGCCATGGGGGTCCCCATTATGAGGCAGACGGAAGGGAGAATGTGCCTCCCCTCGTTCGGCCTGGCAGTGGCTGAGGAGAAGCAGGGTTGGAAGGGGGAGGCCAGTGAGGAAGTCTGGGTGAAGTCTGTGAGTAGGTGAAGTGGGGTGCAGGGGAGGTGGGTGGTAGGAAAAGCCCACTGTGGGATGGAGAGACCCCTGTGGCCTCTCCCCAGGGAAGGTGGCCCTGCTCAGCTCGCTTAGACAGAGGGATCCTGCCGCTGCCGGTTTTGATCGGTGCTTGTTCCCGGCGTAGCTTCCTGTACCCCTCTTCTTAAGGAGATTAGAGGCCGCCTCCCACAGCCCGAGGAAGGAATAGTGGTGCCTCCAGAATTCCTTTTTTAGACTAGCATCGTAAAACGGAGACCAGTCGCAAACAGGACCTAAGAAAAAGAAGGACTTGGTAGCAGAGGGCACCCCAAAGCATTGGACTGACCAGGCTTCACATGGCGGGCTTCTCAGAAGAAGAGGTTTGATGAGAACGGCACCCCACATGGACCACTTACGAGAGCTGCTCACGGAGCGCCTCGTTGGAACCTCAGACTTTCCCGTCAGCAGACGAGGCATCCTCCTGCCGTGAGGAGCTCCGAGTCTTGGCGCTGGGAGCAAGCCTTCTGTGGCACCCCAACTGCTCCCCTTACAGGCTGCGTGGGCCTGGGGACGCTTGTGTCATGGCTCTGTGCATGGACAACGTGCGTTCATCATGCCGTACCCTTGGCACAGCACCCGGCATGTTGTCAGTGCACGGGAGAGTTACACGTGCTGAGTTACCTGAGATGTCGGCTCACCCACGGCTATGGGAATGCAAAGCCCAGGCCTGCCCGTCCGGCCCCAAACCGAGCAGCTCGCTCCCCTGAAGCCACCCCGGAAATGGAGCCAGAAGGCTGCCCCTTCCTTGGGTGGGGGCTTTTAGAAGACCGTACAGACTCATGCTGAGGTGTGTGACCACCACACGGTGTTTGCAGCTGGCAGATGATATGTCCGTCTGTTTGCTTCCTGAATAAGGTCAACAGGCTGCAAGGCCCCGCTCTGCCACTCCAGGGCTGGCTGCTGTCACCAGATTCTTTCTTTTCGGACTACTTAGCCCCGCGGCTGGTGTCCCAAGGGCTCCACGCTGCCCTCCACCCTCAGCCCCTTCCTGTCTCCACTTTCTAATTAGCTCTGTAACTTAACGATACTTTTGGAATTCTTGGGTCCCAGAGCAAAAGTTTCATCAAAATAGGTTAGAGAAATAGGCAAATGGCCTACCCAGCGAGGCATAGCATCGCTTACGCATCAGGATGGCCCAAGAGCGAGGAGTTAACGTCCTCATTTTGCTTCGATCTGTCCTCCTTGCAGTCCAGAGTATCCTCATGGGTCGGTCGGTTGGTTGGTTTCAAGCTGGTTCAACCCTATTTCCGGCGACTTTTCTTTCGAACCCGTAATGGTAATGGTCCTCGGAAAAGAGAGGACAGCTCCATCCCAAACGTTTACGTGACCTTCAGCAGAGAGAGCAGTCGGCTGCCCAAAGCTTGCCGAACTTACCCAGCAGAGCCACAAAAACACTCCGAATGTCAGATTCCGAGACGTGGTGCGGGACGTGGAAGGGTGAGAAAAATGGAACTTGCAAAACGGGAATCCTTCTAAGCCTGTCGACCCCTGTGCAAGGCAGGCCCCGGCCATGCCCCACGGCAGGCAGCCGCGTCCGTCGCGGTGACCCAGGGTGAGGTTCTCCTTGCTCCGCGTCTGCTTCCGCTCAGCCATCTCTCCTCAGTGCTCGGAACGACCGAGGGGGACAGATGGCCGGAGGGAGCTCCGCCAGTCCACTCACAGAGGGCCCTGAGGGTGCCGCGCCTGGGGTCCCGCCCCCACCCCGTCCTTTTCAGCTCTGTTCTGGGCGTCTGACTGACAACAGCCTTCACCAAAAGGCTGGAACTGCAGCCGTGTTTTTAAGATCAAGATCCCAACCAGAAGCAGATTGAAAGAGAAGTAAAGAGGTTTTCACGCCTCGTTCCACACTTTACCTAAAACATTAACTTTTGCTATTCCACGCCTGCCTAGGGCCACTGTTAACTAAAGAGCATGAATTTTTATTCCCTAAGCCTTTTGTATCAGTCAGGGTAGGCTGGGTTCTGCTGCGGTAACAAACACTCCCCCAAAGCTGAGTGACTTAGATGTACTAAAGGTTTATTTCTCGCTCGTGCTATTTACCCGAAGCAGGTCAGATCGGCAAGGACATTTTGTTCATCGTAGCTTCTCACGCACCAGCTTAGGAGGATTTCACACATTTCCACGGTCCGTCCGTGGAACACGGCACGGCACGTGACGCAGCAGCTCGTACGTACCTACCTCCACACAGAAGTGAGGTGTCGCGTGTCCCCCTGCCCGCATTTCATCGGGGGAAGACTACAGCGCCAGGTGACACCTGACTTCACAGCGAGGAGGACCCCAGACGCAGACATCGATGACGTCCACCACACCGCCCTTTGCCAGCCAGCACGGGCGACTCTCCCTCAGCATCGATCATACTGGAGCCGTTGTCTGCCGAGCCAAGTCGCCAAAATGCCTCATGAACACGCCATTCCCTGTGGAGATGGGCCGAGAAAGGAAGCCCTGAGAGAAGACGGTGCTCAGACTGGGTTCCCGCGTCCCTCGCCCTCCCAAGAACGACCAAAATCTCAAGGCTGAAACCCTGTCGGCTTAGCCCACCCCGTCCTGCGGGCGGCGGGCGCCAAAGCCTCCTGGTTTCTTCTCAGCGTGCCACAGGGCTCTGCATGTTCGAAACAGAGGAAAAAATATATATATATATCCGTTCTGACACAGGTCCCGTGCTCTACCCCGTCTTACAAGCCGCGAGCAAACGCTGGCTTTCTGCGCACCTGCAGGCACCTACGGGGAGCGAGCTGACACAGCCACGTCCACGGCCACGTCCCCCACGGCCGCTCCTCTGCCCGGGACGTTGTCTCCCACGCAGAAGGGAGTCACTCACTTCCTAACCGAACCACGGCTCCACGTGCTACTCATTTCGTTCCCTCAGACAACTGCCAGGATTCGTGTCAACTGGCGCACAGCTGGCAGCTCTCAGTCCCCCCTTGGTGGAGCCCGTAGACAGTGGAGGGGGACACTGCAGCTTGCTTTTACCGTCTTTTGTTTTCCTTTGTTGCTTGGCAGTGGGTGAAGGAAGACACGCTGTCGGTGGCGGGGGAGAGCGTCCCTGCTCGGCTGCCCAAGGCAGCCGGACTCTTTTTTCCTTTCTTATTTGCATAAAGATGCTTTGAAGATCACCTCGTGTTTTTCCAAGCCACCCTCATTAAAAAAAAAAAAAAAAAATTAATCTCAAAATTCCGGTTCATATAAATGAGATATAATATTACGTCTACCTAAAAGTATAAATACTAAGAGCTACTGTATACAAAGAGCCTACTGTGTGTCAGGTGATTCTCGCTCACTGCCTCGCCCTTGGATGTCATCTGTATTTTGCAGATGATGACACTAAGGCTCGGGAAGGGTAAGGAGCTTGCCCAGGATCACGTGCTTGTAAGTAGCGGAGCCCGGATTCACCCTCAAGCCCAGCAAAGTTGACACACGCGGTCCTCTCCAGCGGGCAGCTCTGCAGAAGCATCTGGACCATCGCAGGGACCTGGATATTGCTGTATGCAGGACAGAGAGCAGCGGTGTTCCAAAAGCTGACCTCCCACCTACCAGTGGAGCCGGTGGTCTTAGGCTTATTGCACAAAGCACAGGAGTTGACCATGTCCCGAGGGGCCTCCAGGGAGCCCAAAACAAGGTCCAACCAATCTAGAGGGGTCTCCAGTGTAGCAGAGTGGTAAAAAGCATGGCCCTCGGCATCTGAATGCTGGTGTTCCATCTTTAACTCTGTGAACTAGGACGAGGTCCCCAACCTTTCAAAGCCTCAGTTTCTCCAGCTCTGTAAAATAGGGATCATAAAAGACTCTATAGGACTGCGGGAAGGGCTAACTGGGACACTTAAGGATGCACTCTGCATATGGCCTGGTGCACAGGAAGCCCTCGGTGAATGACGGCTGGCATCGTCCTCAGTGTTCGCCAAAGAGTCTTCAGGGAGAGCCTTTTCCAAACGGTGGTCATCTGGTGTTTGTGGTTATTTTTTTTCCAAGTCTGTCCATCCATCTGGTCCAAGCTTTCAGCCTTGTTAATTCTTAGCTCATGTGCCATGGCCCAGGTCTCTCAGAGTTTCCTTCCAGGCTCGAGGGGCATGCGATGATTGTCAAAGAGACATTTCTAAGCAGCTCATCTGGGAGTGCTGCTACGAAAGGGAATTGTGGAGAGAAGGGGGAAAAAATCCCCCAAGGGGTAAGCTGCAGTCTACGTCTCTGTGACTGCAGCTGGCAAGTCGAAGAAATAATGGTACGAGACAGCCAAGCCACGCGCATGCTGCCTTTAAGAGTATAAGTTGGCTGCACAGCTTTCCAGGAGAGGGATGGACGGCCTCAAACCACAGGCCATCACCGAGGTGTGATTGACCAGTCCACGAACAGCTTGGAAACAGGCCTCGAGCTGTACATACGAAGCTTGCATCGATTAAGTGCTCAAGCCGGTGCCAGGAACTCTCCGGAGCGCTTTAGGACTGGTGTGGCGCGTTTAGTCTTCCCGAACCCCTGATGGGGGTGACTCCTGCCGTGAGCGCCGGTGCTGTGCAGAGTAGTCAGCTGAGGCACAGAGTTCAGATCACGGGGCCGAGGTCACAGAATGAGCAGTGGGCAGGGTTTCCACCCAGGAATCCCGGCTCTTGACTTCCGTTCCATGCCACCCCTGATGATCTGTGACACCGATTTAAGACAGAGAGCGGGGTGTCGAATGGGATGTCAGATTAGCTGCGTTTGGGGTCGGGGTGGGGTATGAGTGAGTCGACCTCCTGAAAATATACCCTTGAGGAGTAACTGTGGTGGTTTTCTCGTGTTTCTGTTAGCACACCTCGGCCGCTGTGCCAAACCAGTCGGTCCGTTTCAGCCTAAATTCAGAGGATGTCTGGCTTCTGGCAGTTTGTATTTAGACCGATACAAGCACGGGGTAGACGGGAAAACTAGGGAAGGAAAGCGATCAGTCGTCAGCTTTGGCAGAAACAGAAGCGCCGACGTGCAGGACGGGCCGCTCTGCCCGGCATCCAGGCCCCGCGGCCCCAGGCCCTGCGCAGAGCCCTCGGCCCATCCGTACGGCCGACTGAACGAGCTCAGCCCGACGCCGGCCCCGCCGCCTCCCCGCCTGCTAACTCCGCCCTCTCTGATTGCAGGCAACCTGGACATCACTCCGGACGACCCCCGCTGGATCGGAGCCTGGTGGGGCGGCTTTCTGCTCTGCGGTGCCTTACTCTTCTTCTCTTCCCTCTTGATGTTCGGGTTTCCACAGTCTCTGCCCCCACACTCAGACCCCGCCATGGAGAGCGAGCAGGCCATGCTCCCCGAAAGAGAGTACGAGAGACCCAAGCCCAGCAACGGGGTCCTGAGGCACCCCCTGGAGCCAGACAGCAGTGCCTCCTGCTTCCAGCAGCTGAGAGGTAAGGACGCCTCGTCTGTGGGAGGCCAGAGTAATGGGGTGATCGAGGGCGGCGGGGTGAGGGGCAGCACTCAGGACTGGGTGCTGGGGGTCGTGAGACGGATCGCATTTGTTTTGCATGACTCGCTTCTCCAGCCTTGTGCGTAACTTAGTTCTGAGAATTCAGTGTCCTAATAATGAAAGCAAAGTGGCTACACTTTAGGGAAGGGACAGCCGACTGATAGCCCCAGCGGAAGCCCCAGTGGCTAACGTAGCACCCGAGGTATAATAAATATCAATGTTTGCAGAAGCGAGAAGGCGGAAGAGGGGAGGACGCTAGACATTTCATAGAACGCCCTCGAAGGCCACTTACAGGCGCCGCGAAGCAGTAAAGGACTTTTGAAGTTCACTCCCTTTGCCCGACGCAGGCGTTCTTAAAAAGCCGCTGCCGAAGTATGCCGCTCTAGGTTAGCTCTGTCCTTCCATCTTCTGTGTGAAAGATGAGAGGCGTGTTCTTCTGGAAAGAAGTATTAACTCAGTCTTAATAACAGAGTCACACTTCAGAGTGCTGCCAAGTGCTCGCAATCATTTCTAAAAGGAAGAAATACATTTCTGCTGAGACGGTGGCGAAGTACAACGCCGCCGAAGGAGAATGGGAGACGCCTCCCCCGACCCCAGCCCACCCCCCACCCCAGTCAATTCCGTATTTGGCACATTCGGTCTCTTAAAAGTGAGGAAAATGACAGCACAGCCTCAAAAGCTGTTTCTGTCGCACATGTGCACAGACACACACACGTGTACACACACACAAACACACACGCACACACATGCACCCCGCTGCGAGGTTTATACTGTGCTCCTTAGCTCACAGGACCCCCGATTTCAGGTCCCTGGAAGAACCGGCTGCATTTTTTACAATGACCAGGAGTGAGACCGGGCACTGCTTCTCCAGGTGCCCGCGGAGGGAGAAAGGTAGACGGTCACCTCTTCGCAGGGACTTGGGCTCCCAGCCGGGCAGGCTCTGCAGCAGCTGCAGCCCCGCGGCGCTCGGCTGAGGGATCTGGAGAAAGTCCGTCTCCCAAGCCTCCTTCCTGGAGATGCTCTCGAGAAGCATGGGGGTGGCCTCAGGCCGTCGTGAGCCCAGATCCCCATTCTCCTCTCGACCAGCCCCGCGATCGCTGATTCTCCCCACTTCATGCCCACGCGTGCAGAATCGTAACGTCACTCCCCAGCCACAGTGCGCTCGTGAGCATCAGAGCAGCTCCCAGAGAAGACTGTTCATAGTACCCATCAGCCCGTGAGGAGGTCACAGCACTTGTGCTAATGCCCGAAAGAGCGAATTCCGTAACCGCATGTCGCGTCTGACCCCCCGTGTTTGCGATGGCGTCTCCCCAAGGCTGTGATGTGAAATTACTCGGAAGAGATCGTAAAGTCCATCTCGTTGAGTTCCAGGAGACATTGGTACATGGCCACTCACGCTGTGTCCTCTGAGGTGGTTTCGGCTTGGACTCCCCGGGAGGATGTGCTTCAGAAAAGAGGTCCCCAAGCAGATCTGCTTCAGGAGCCCCTGGTGGCTAGAGAGTGATGCCTGCTACTCCCCTGACAGCACAGCCGGCCACAGTGTCCTGGGAACCAGACCCAAGGGAATAAATGGGGCTGGCACGAGAGTGAGCCTTGCAAGGGGACGCGGTAGCCCTAGGCAGGGGACGGTCTTTCTAGGTCTTTTCCCGTCCCATGACGATGGCCCTGCCGACGATGGCTCTGATGACCATCATTACACACCGGTCATCTCTCACCTTTCATCTCTGGCTATACAAAGATGAAACAGATAGAGTGTAGGGACAGACCGGCCAGCCAGCGAGGCCAGCCCAGAGTGGTGTCAGCGTGGGCAGAGGTTTCGTAAATACGGGGACGGGCCGGCAGGAGCTCAGTCTTGAGGGCTGTCACAGCTTCAGGATTCTTGGATTACGACTCAGGTAACTCATTAACTCATTTGTTCGATTCGGTCAGTATTTACTGAGACCCCGCTGGCCTCCAGGGGCACAGCCGGTGACCCCAGGCAGCTTTTGTCCTGGAGCTTGTGTTGTAGCAGGCGGAGGCATGCAGTAGGCAGAGTCCATGCCCTGGCGAGGGGAGCCTTGGACGTGTGGTGGCTGAGCTGACGAGCACACAGTTGGGGAGACTTGTCTGAGACTCACTAGACCATAGTTGATCATAGCTTGTGACCTGTATACGCGTGGGCTCCACTTTTGATGATCAATGATTTTTAGTTTAGAATTAGCACTTCCCTGAGGCAGTAGGTCCCATGACAGACCTAAAGGATGTCCCCGCAGGAGAGGAAAGTAGTCTCTCTAGAAGAACCCCTAGGAGCCATAATACGGTGAAGCGAGCTGCCGAACTCGTAAAACACGCCAGCACACGGAGAGGGAGGGGTCGTGGGGGTTTCCACCCTGCATTACTCCATGTGCGATAGCGTTCTTGCCGCATGGGCATTTCTACCTAAAGAACCCTACGGTGCTTTCTGCTGCTCCCAAACTCATCCGCTTTGCAGCCTCCAAGGCCCAGAGGTCCCCACGCTACGTACTCATGGGTGCAGGTAAGCTCAGCAGCGCTGCACACAGCACAGGAATTAACATTTCCCTAAAATCTATGTGATGAAATTTCTCATGTTGCATTTGTGCTTGCAAATGAGTTTCTTCTTCAGCCATCAATCTGTGTCCCCTCCCATGCTCCGCAGATGGCAGAGGTCCCTGAAGTGAGCTGGTGTTGCATCGAGGGCAGCCCCTCCACCCTCCTCTCTGCTGGGACGGAGGTGGTCTCCCCTGCATCTGGGAGAGCAGGTGGGGCTGCTCACCCGGGATCAAGTCCAGCTCAGCCACTTCCTACCCGTGCAGCCTCGGCCTTGTCGTTAAACTCCCTTTGGCCTTAACACGCTGTCGGGGTCCATCTTTGCAGCCGCTGGGTAAGGTCAGTGTTACTTTTCCCAGTTTGGAGATGAGGAACCTCAGCTCTGGGGATGTAGGAGTCTGGGCTCCATGGTTCACTTTTCAGGCACTCTCCCCAAAAAGCAGGCTTTGAGGGTCTATCCCCAGCAAAGTCAGTTATCTGTTGGCTCTGCGGCTCTTATCAGAGGTAGAGGTGAAGGCTCAGAGTCTTGGTCCAGAACTGTGTGGAGCAGCTGTCACTCTTTACGTCCCGCTCAGCCCAGAAGTCCCCATCTGACGGTGCCTGTCACATAACTATTTTGCAAAGGCAAGCGAACAAATGCTTGGATTTGTTAAACCCCAGTGTCCTCCAAGTGGAAGTCTGTAAATCTAAGACACATTTTTGTATCTCGGCTACGCTGCCAGATGACTTCTCCTCTGCACGCTGGCTCTGACACCCCTCATCCCTGGCCTTGTTCCTCAGATGCCCCAGAATGTTTGCTGACTCGTCTTCCAGGACGTGTCTCAGCCCCTCGCTTCCCTCCTCTTGTGTCCAGCTCTGTGTCCACGTCCCCCCTTTCCTATGTCATGTGGGGGCCAGGACCACATCTGGGGTGGCCTCCCCAGTCGAGAAGCTCAGAGTTTGCAGAATCCTTCGTGAAAGGCTAGATCCAGAGTGAGTGAGGAAGGAATTCGGGGGGCTGTGATGAGAAGTACCCAGGTTTTGCCATCGGCAGGTGCGTTAAATCTCACGTCCATAGTTTTGTGTTTTATTGGACGTTGTCTCCGGTGTCACCTGCATGGAGGGACCTCGATGGTCGTGATCCAGGCCCCTTCCGGAGCCACACGTCCCCGCACCTTGCCCATCAAGCTCTGTGTGTGGTTCCTGCAGCATACTCTGCTGTTCGCCGCTGTCGCTGCCTGGCACGCCCTTCCCGCCTTGGTCCCCACCATCCCAGGACCTCCCCCCGCCCAGTGCAGCCCCTCTGGGCACAAGCCTGGTGCTGGATCAGCCGCGTTTCTGTCGTGCACACTGCCCCTGCGGGGCGCCTGGTACCCCACTTCATAGTGCCTCCCAGTGTGTCCTCATCTGCCCAAGGCTTGTGGGCTGTCCAGGGACAAAGGTCTTATCATCATTTTGTTTCCACTGCAGAGCACAGTGCCTGGCACGTAGGTGGTATTGGTTGAATGAATGAATGAATGAATGATGAGTGAGCGAGTGAATGATGAGTGGATGAATGGATGAATGAATGATTGAGTGAGTGAATGAATGATGAGTGAGTCAGTGAATGAATGAATGAACGATGAGTGAGTGAGTGAATGAATGAATGACGAGTGAGCGAATGATGAATGAATGAATGGTGAATGATGAGTGAATGAGTGAATGAATGAATGATGAGTGAGTGAATGAATGATGAGTGAGTGAATGAGTGAATGATGAGTGAGTGAATGACTGAATGAACGATGAGTGAATGAATGAACGGATGAACGCTTTCTGGCCGGCGTGCATGCACATGTGCATACACACTCACACGCGAGCACCATCGTATCTAATCCCCCCAACCCCGTAAGGCATCGGCACCATCGACCACTCAGGAAATCGAGGCTTAGCTTAGAGAGTGAAAGGAAAGGCCTTAGAGTCCTGGCCGGGGCCCCAGCGCCGTCATCTTAACCGCGTCATGACGAGACACCTTCCTGCAGTAAACGGACTCTCTCTTAAAGAAGACATGGCCTCGGCAGGTGCTCACTGACTTTTCAGCAGAGTGTGCTCAACCTCCAGCTGTATCTAAAACAATGGGTCTTCCCTCCGGGGCTGCATCCTGAAAGGGAGGACAGAGCCTGCTCCCCGCCAGCCTCGTCGGCACGTCCTGACCTTCCCGCCGGGCTTTCTAGCTGGAGGAGTGTAACTGCTCCGAAGGTTCCACGTCTGCAGGCAGAGCCCTTGCCTTTGATCACTGAGAGAGCGGAGCAATCAAACGCTGAGCGTTCTTGTGTCTGCGCGTCCCGCTGACTGCCAAGTAGCCTCTTCCCGTCCCGGAGGAGATCGGGGCACTGGGTGGCAGCGGGGAACGGCCAAGCCATCAGGGTGGGGGTGGGG